TTCTTGCTTCTGAATTGTAGTTTTTCTACTTTCTTGATATGTATAAGAAAATAGTGTGGAAGGGACACTAAATGCTGTGAGTGAACCAGTTCTGGCACCAAAAATGAGGGGATGACAACATTGGTTTGGCACCAACCTAGATTGAATGTAATGTAAAGCAAAGCTGTCCTCTCAGCTGTGCTTAGTTCATGAGTCCTGTTGTGTTGCCTGCTTTCTCTTCCTGTCCTGGTGAGGAGTGAGCTGTACCACAGTGTGCAGTGATGTCAGTTAGTGCTCAGCAGGCTTTCAGATGAGACCACTGGTGTTTGTTTTCAAGGGCAAAAGACAACCAGATCTGTGAAGATGAAAGAGAAAAGTGAGAGCTATGCAACTTCCCCCTGAAATGGCAATGACGTACAAACATTTTTTTTTCTGTTTTCAGCAACAGCTACAGGCATATGTGGCCTGGGTGAATTCCCAGTTGAAGAAGCAGCCAACAATAAAGCCGGTCCGAGACCTGAGACAGGATCTTCGAGATGGAGTCATTCTTGCTTTGCTCATTGAGATTGTAGGTCAGTAATGCCATATGGCACTATTTTTCATCTTGCAGTTTTAGATCTTGTGTAGAAGAGTCTGGCCTTGGCTCTGACATCTGTCAGGCATACTGGCAGATGTTAATGACTGTGTCTGAACTTGCAGGGGTGGGGAAGGAGTGACTTCAAAAGAAAACAATCATAAAGCAAATCATAAATACAACTCTGTTAAAATCCTTATGTTTTAGCGGGCAGTTATTACATATGTGCTAAAACCTGTCAGGGACCGTAGCAACTCCCATGAGGCTGAAATGGGGTTATGCAAGGATTTACCTTGCAGAAAAATGGTGTTAGTGTGGCATTTTTCAAAGAGTGACCTGCTTGCTGGGATACTCCCTTCTTCCCAGGCTCAATTTCACTCCCAAATTCTTTACCTTCTGAGCAGTGCAGGGGAGTGGGTTATGGCGGTTGTGGTCAGTTCACTATGCATTTTCTCTGCTGCTCCTTCCTCCTCATATTCTCCCTCTGCTCCAGTGTGAGCTCTGATGCACAGGAGACAGTCCTCCATGAACTTTTCCAACATGGGTCCTTCACATGAGCTACAATTCTTTATGAAATGCTCCAGCATAAGTCATTTCCATGAAGTGCAGTCCTTCAGGAACAGACAGTGTGGGTCCCCTGTGGGGTCACAGGTCCTGCCAGAAGAACTGTTCCAGCGTGGGCTCCTCTCCATGGGGCCACAGGTCCTGCCAGGAACCTGCTCCGGTGTGTGGTCTCCATGGGGTCACAGCCTCCTTGAGGGCACAACCACCTGCTCTGGCATTATGTCCTCCACAGGCTGCAGGGTGGATATCTGCCCCACTGTGGACCTCTATGGGCTGCCGGGGGACAACCTGTTTCACCATGGTCTTCACCACAGGCTGCAGTGGAATCTCTGCTCTGGTGCCTGGAGCACCTCCTCCCCCTCCTTCTTCACTGACCTCTGTGTCTGCAGAGTTGTGTGTCTCACTCCTCTCTCCTGGTTGCTGTTGTGCAGCATATTCTTAAATATGTTATCAGAAAGGTGCTACTACTGTCACTGACTGGCTTAGCCTGGGCCAGTGGTGGGTCTGGCTTAGAGCTGGCTGGAACTGGCGCTCTCAGACATGGGGGAAGCTTCTGGGATCTTCTCACAGAAGCAACCCCTGTAGCCCCCCTGCTCCCAAAACCTTGCCATGTAAGACCAATTCAGTTTCCAACCTAGTTATTCCTGGTACTGGATACCTTATAAGCAGGACAAGAAGCCATGTGTGCCTCTTGCAGTACCCAGACAAGAGATAAGATCAGGCCCTACATCTATAGCAATTCCTGTGACAGCACCAAGCACTTCAGTTCCTCTTTAATAAAGTTTTTTCACTCCTTCAGCTGGTGAGAAGTTGAATGGCATTCACGTCAACCCCAGTAGCCACCAGGAGATGAGGGAAAATGTGGAGAAAGTCTTACAGTTTGTGGCATCAAAAAAGATCCGCATGCATCAGACATCAGCAAAAGGTATGTGCTGCTGGGCAGTCACCACAGATGATTTTGTGTTGAAGGCCTGTTTCTGTCTTTGCTTCATATCAAGCAGATAACATATTGGTTTGTGGGAGAATTTTTGTTTCTTTCCTACTATGGTTTAGTAACAGATTTTGGGTTGAATGATACTGTGTTCTTGACTGCTTTTGGTAGCAGCACAGTGCACAGAAACAAAAGTGCTTTTTCTTCTGCTACTGAGCAGTCAGAAATCAGGTAATGGTGTAATGAGGAATATAGACTCATAATCTTTCACTAAAAGGACATAGAGACCTGCTACTGTGAAATCAGACATGGGGAAAATATTTCTGGTCCACTGGAAGCCTGTGATACTATTTCTTATGGCCTGTAAATAGGGAGGAGACCCAATATGCAAAATGACATGTCTATGGCATGGTTTGGTCAGATGTCACAAGGATTGCTGGTGTGTGTATAGATGTGTGGGGTGGGAGACAGGCCCCAATCACTACTGTTTGCTGACTGTACAGGGAGGGGATACAGTTCTGATTGTCTGTGGCCCTTCGGATGAGGAAGAGGGGGAAAATGCTGAGATGGACTGCATGGGATGCATGGCCCTTGTTAGAAGAGTACAAGCAGGTGGTTTATAGGCCTTGGTGAGAGGCTTAGAATTTAAATATAGGTAATGAGTTCTATTCCCACAGTACTACTACTGGCAGATTGGAGTCTATACTGTTTCTTTCAGTGATGTTGCAATTTGTCTTATGAGCTCATGACTATAGAAATGATAGCAATATTAGCAAGCCTTAATAAGCAGAGGTATCAACCTGGATATGCAATGAAATGATGTCATGTGGTCATAGGATAGGATACAGGCATGAGACTCTGACACGTTCCAGAGCTCTACTCAGAGTTCTGTCATTGACTTATTCTAGGACTTCAAATGATTCACACAAACTTTTGGCTTCATTTTCTTCATGAATGACGTGGAGGTAACAGTCACTGACTTATTTTGGCTATTTCTAATTTTTTGGATACTAAAGCAAGTAATAACCAGCCTTCATGCCTCCAGCACTTACAATTTTTTTTTAGGCTGCCTCTGATATTTGGAAACCCTATTCCTATTATTTTAATGAACTTTGAGTATCTCGGTTGACTAAATTGTTTTGAGATATCCTAGTCTGAAAGAATGGTTAATCTTCGCAGTGAACTTGAGATCAATGTGTTTGACTTCGTTTGTATGCTGGGGGAAATGCCTGGTGTGATATTA